GGTCCGGGCGCTGAGACACCGGTGCCGCATACCCGTGCGCCGCACCCCTACGAGGACGTGGAGGTCTGTGAGGGCGTTAGTGTCGAGAGGGTTGACATTGAAAAGTTGAAAACCGAGCTAAATGTCGAGGACCTGACCTTTACAACACCGGTAGCTCAGCGTAAAGGACAGGTAGTCGAGGATACCGTGAAGTTTGAGTTTATAGAGAATATACGCGAAATAGGCGTTACGTATATGCCGTCCGCTGACGATGAGAGTGAGGACACGGATGCAGCCGTACCCACACCTACCGGTGCTAAGACTGAGACCAAGGATCGCAAGTCGAAACTCAAGGGGAAAGTTATGCCGAAAACGTCGACGGGCGTGGCTATCGACTCGTCGGTAATGTTTTCGTACTCCTGTTTGACTGTTAGGGCCGATGAGGCACTGGACACCCGTTTGTCGATAATTCCCTTTAGCTCCGAGTGTAGGGCCCGAGTCATACCGGGGCCCATGGGTTCGTCCGGTACGGCATCGCCCGTGTCGTCACCAACACCCGACTGGTCGGCCATCATGTTTACGGGTAGTGAGCGCCGGGAGGGAGGGTTGACGTCTGTAGGGGTCGCACGAGTGGACTGGGATCTGACCGCTAAATAAATAAATTTTTTATAAATACGTGATTATTTTATCATGATAATTTTAATGACTAGAGTATTTTTAATATAGTGGTATAAAAGTATTACAAACAAAGTATATTTGTAAGTTAAGAATAATTTTGCAAAATCATTATACGGTAAATGTTAAATAGTGTGTAATCATGTAATTTTGCCACCTATTTGAGTGTGGTAGATTTTTTATTTTAAAATAAATAACACAAGTATCTCATACATATTGTTGAATATCATTGGATAAATTATTTAATAAAATAATATATAAATTACAGTCTAGAAAGTGAACAAGTACTGGATAAGTTTTCAATTAATTAACCATTAACGTTTTAATGTTAATTAAAATATTTAATATAATTTTTATTAGTAAGTTATCTCTATTTAAAAAATATTTTAAATAAATAATTAATTTTTAGCATGAACCAGGATAAATTAAATAAATAGTAAACTAAAAGGATCACTTTTCTAGACCATTTTATAAATTAACTTTTCATTTGTTAACATATTATAGATTCTTAAAATTTAATTACAGTTTTAATGATAATTAAAAGTAACATAAACTACACGTTAAATAAATACCTGTTTTGTATGCAGGCCTTACACCGGACCCATACTCGGACGACAGGGGCTGCGGCACCGGTGCCACCCCTCCCACGTCCTCCACGTCCACCACCTCGGCCACCGGCGTGCCCTCCCTATCCCTATACTCGTCGCACTCCTCGTCCACCTCTTCCTGACGGGAGTGGTATTCCGACGCAAACGACTGGTAGTTAGAGGTTATCGACGATATATCGTCGTTGAGTGTGTCCTGATCCCAGTCCCTATAGGGCCGGCCAGTAGGTCCGGCCCCATCCACCGGTGCGTTCTCCGCGTCATACCACGTGGTGGAGCTGAGGCTAACGGTGCGATCGGCGGCGCCAGTGTACTGCTGAACAAACTGCTGGTGATTGGCCGCGTCCGACGCGGGGAACGGCGGGTTAGTCGGTGTCGTAGGCGTCAGGGGATTGGTAGGCGTTTTGTTGAGATCCTCGCCGCCCGGGCCTAACATGTCGTTCCCATTCATGTCCTCCCAGAGCGAGTTGTTCCGGGCGTCCAATTGAGTCGACGTATCGCACGTCAGGATAAAGCCATTGTCTTTGGTGCTGATACTCACATCCCTAGTGCGCGGACTACCGGTGCCCGTACTCGGGCGCCGGGGTTGCGGTTTGGGAGGCCGGGGAGGGGCCGGTAGGGGGCGTCGGGACCAATCGGGTGTCGCGACAGCAGCGCCGGTAGCTTTAGGCGGATCGTCCGTACCTTTACATACAGTAGAGTAGATGTGATAGTTATTTGAGATAAAGGGTCTATAGTTAGCACCAGTGGGCGGACTGGTAGTAGAGGGACAGGTAGTAGTGGAGGACAGTACGGAAGTGGACAGCGAGTGGGGGATAGCGGTAGGAGGGGGTGGACGGGCGGGTCGTTTGGTGATTGTCCTAATAATTTTGGGTTGCAGTGGCGGTGGCCCGGGATCTGGGCTACCGGTGCGTCGCGTAATTGGTGTCTGCGGTTTGACAGCACCGGTAGACAAGTCGGGACGACTGTTACGGACATCAAGTTCCGTGAGGGACCGGCATCGGCGCCATTTCCACGTGAATGGCCGCCAATCGAGCGCCTGTTGGGGGTCGACGGTGTGACTGCGCTCAGCCATACGCCGGCGCCGGGGCGGTGGTGTCGGCGTCCAGTTTCTGGTGGCACCGGTAGCTCCGATGATCGGTGCCGTGTCGACGACCATACCGTTCAGCACCGGTAGTGTTTGCGACTTAACCACCGCGTTTGGGGCCAATCGCGCGTTGATAGCGTTCAGCACCTGTACCCGCGTGGGCACACCTCGCTGGTGGCCGGGTAGCACCGGCACCGGGAGGGGTGGCTTGTCGTACGTAGCCATAGCACCGGTAGGTAGTATACGATGCCGTGGAGGGGAACGGGCCCTCCCTGTGATGAACCGGCGCTTAGGCTTATAGTTGAGCCTAACGTTAGTGTAGTATATATTAGGCGGCACTCGTTGTTTGCGATACCGGTGCTGCTTATTCAGGGAACTGGAGTTGGAGTCCGTGTCCACTGTTATCGAGACTGCCGGTGCGATGGGCCGGGGAGGTGGCGGCCTGGGAGGCGGTATACGTTTAGGCCTAACCATGACTTGCGTGCTTAGGGTGGGACTGGAGGCTACTTTCGACCCGTACTTCATGCCGGAGAACCTGCGCGGGGGTCTCAGTGGGCCGGATATGGGGCTCATATAGGAGTCCAGGCGCTCCTGAGTGGCAGCCATCTCCTCGTACACGTGATTCCGGTGACCTCCCGGTGCTCCGTAACCACCAGACCGTCTATGCAGCGAATCGCAGAGCTCTGAGTCGGACACGCAGTCAAAGTCGTTGTCATAGCGGGACGGGAGGTGACGGCTGGCCATAAAGGACTCGTACTCTATGTCGTGTCGAGTGGCGCGACCGGTTGACCCGCGCCGGGGTGTAATCATATCGCCGATAAGGGTCGTAAGTTTCGGTAGGCTTTCCATCGCCTTAGCCTTAAAGCGGTCCAACTTTGCCCGGGTCTTAGACTTGGACTTCCGGTGCTTTTTGGCTCCCTTTCCACCTTTAGGTGACTCCACGCGGGACACCCTTTCCAGGAACTGCTGCTCCTCTATGTCCTCCTCCTCTGTCTCGTACTGCGAAGCCATACCGGCGCCAGTAGTCATAGCGCCGTCTACCAGTGCCTCATCCCTGGCCACTACAGTGGATACACCGGACGTGCCACTGGTTTGCGACATATTATAGGTGGAGCTGTCGGTGGCGGCACCGGTAGTCGTGAGGGAGGTGTCGATGGACGTGGCTATCGACTCGTCGGTAATGTTTTCGTACTCCTGTTGGAAGTTCGTAGGGGTGGGCGTGGCTGAGGGTATGTCCACGAGCTCCGGGTGCTGGGGCTCGTCAACCACCACCACCTGTATCTGCGGTATATCCACCTGTTCGACAGCGCCGGTAGCTTTTCGGCCCCACTTAGGGGTGGATTTTTTCGTGGGGAATATCTCCCGGACTTTCGACTTCAGCGCCCGGAACGACGTTTTCGGCATAACTTTCCCCTTGAGTTTCGACTTGCGATCCTTGGTCTCAGTCTTAGCGCCGGTAGGTGTGGGTACGGCTGCATCCGTGTCCTCACTCTCATCGTCAGCGGACGGCATATACGTAACGCCTATTTCGCGTATATTCTCTATAAACTCATACTTCACGGTATCCTCGACTACCTGTCCTTTAGGCTGAGCTACCGGTGCTGTAAGGGTCAGGTCCTCGACATTTAGCTCGGTTTTCAACTTTTCAATGTCAACCCTCTCGACACTAACGCCCTCACAGACCTCCACGTCCTCGTAGGAGTGCGGCGCACGGGTAGGCGGCACTGGTGTCTCAGCGCCTGGACCCTCGTATTCATCGTCGGCCTCGATGTCGACCCCATCGTCCGGTTTGACCGCAGTTTTCGGTGACTTTTTGGCCGTTTTTTGTCTCATTTTCTCGAATTCCTTCTGTTTTTTCATAATCTTCTGCTTCTGGCGATCGTCGGACCGGAACCTCGCGAACAGCGACTGCCGTTCCTTACGCTCCTCCTTCTTGAGCTCCTTTTCCTGCCGTCGGCGACACTTCTCCTCCTCCCGGAGCCGCTTCTCCAGCAGTTTTCGCTCCCTTTTCAGCTCTTTCGACGACTCGGCAGACGACTTCTTGTCCAACATTTTCGACTCGTTTTTACTGTTTTCCATGTTTTCCGACATTTTTGGTGAGACTCTAGCTTTTTGTATCGACTCCTGGATCGCCGTATCGATGATTAGTTGGGAAGTCCGTTTGGCCAGGCTGTCCATATCGACTACCGGTGCTATAACCACCGGTACGAACACGCTTTGAGCGGCACCGGTAGGTTTATCCAGAGATGTGCCCATAGGGTTAGCGTTAACATCAACGGGCGTTACGGTAAATGCTCTAGTCACGTTTTCGGGTTTGTTATTATTATCTACCGGTGCTGTCAGCTCTGGGTTTACGTTCAACACCATAGGCCTGGACTTTGATAGCGATGTCGATGGCTTGGGCACCGGTATGTTATGCGAAGTAGTTTTTGCTGGAGTAGTGGTAAGGCTGGTAATTATGGCACTGACTTCCGATCGCTTATCATCCTCAGTCAGAGCACCGGTATCTCTGTTAACAACTATAATACCAGACGCCAGGGCATTGGTACTGGTATTTGACGCCTCGGTAGTGGAATCCGAGTCCTTATTAATAGCCACATCCGGTTTAGACACCCCTTTCCCCATAGGCTTAACAATAACACCATCACTCGTGGGAGGTCTGGCACCGGGCGGTACGTACGGCTGTACCCTTTCCGGCTCGTCCGGTAGGCCATACTTGTGTTGCATGTCCGCGAGGTTCAGGGGCTCCCGGTCCTCGATGAGCACCGGTACGCCAGCGGCTAACTGTGCCAACACGTCGTGACAGACAATGGAGTCCCGGTTAAAGTCGACGTCCCGGTAGTCGTACGAGCACTCAGTCTGGCCGTCGTCTAAGTAGTTGAACCCTTCCGGGCCTATGCTCTCGAAGTCCTCACCGAAACTGCGTGGGAACGGGCGTTGATTATGTTTGGACCTACCGGTGCGATGGGGAAAATGTAGGTTATTTTTTGGTAATCTAGGCGTTTTAATATTGTTTAATCTAGTTTATTATTATAGTTGATTAAATAAATAAAAATAAACAGGTTCATATTAAATCCATTATTATATTGTTAAATAAGGTTCTTAAATACATGTTATAATGTAATTTAAATGACAGCCTGAACCAGGTTATAATTATGTTTCGATTAGTTCTAATGAAATAATTAATTTGTTATTATTATTTGTTTGAGAAAAATATCTTGCTTCATTATAAATTGGGGGAAGTGAAAGATATTGTCCATGATAATGGTAAAATTAATTTCTTATTAACTATAATGTTTTCACAATTTATTAATTTACAGTTTGTTACACTATAACATTATGTATGATTATAGATACAGTACCATAACTATTTATTAAAAATTTTAATATCAAAACTAAATTCTTAAATAATAAAATATTAGTTTTTAATTTTTATAAATTAAATTTGAAATAATCTAGTTTTTAGTTAATTAAAAAAATATTTGTCCCTAACAATTAAGTTGTTATTAAAGCTGTTCCCGTGTTAAATATTTAAAATAAATTTAAATACTATATATAAATAATGCATTTATATTACAGTTACAAATATGACTAAACTATATACTTATTTTTAAAAATATTATACTAAATTATAATTTTCAAACGCTTCACTTACTTAATAGGCAAGGCCCTTTTAGCCGACTCAAGCGCTTTCTGATACAGATTAACAGCCAGGTTATTGCAACAAACGGTATGTTCACTATCCTGGGAGGCATTATTCCGGGAACATTGTCCGATAGTCGGGAAACGTGTCGACCGACTGGCAATCGTACCGTCGCTTAATTCGCACGCATTATAAACGCTATTATTATTGGCGTTAAAGTTGTCGTTACTATAGGTTTTTGGACACAAATGAAAAATATATATTTCATTAATATAAAAATTATGAATAGCTATTGTATACAAATTTGTTATAATTAGTTCATCACCTTGCTACCCAATTTTAATTTTATTTTATGTTTAGTATAAAATATAAATGATATTTAGAGATATTTTACAGTTTGAAAAGTTTCTAATATTATTACAATGAGACTATATAAACCTGTATACATTCCTAGCATAAATATAATTAATCAAGCTAATTGAATAAAATGCTTCCACTTTCCTACCCCATTATCATATTTTTCAAAATTTAATGTATATTTACAAATATAGTTAAACAAAGTTACAGTTGAACTATGATTTAAAATTAAAGTTAACATCATAATAAAATAACATATTTGTAAGTATTTTATAGTTAACTGATTGATGTTTATAACTTGTAATTTAACTTTTAACCAAATTTATAATATTAACAATTTTCAAACTGTATTAAAAATTTATTCCTTGTCCATATTAACAGAATTTATTTGAGAAAAGCAATATTGGAATTTATAACTATTTAGCAATAAACTTAACTAGATATAATAAGTTTTAAAATTACTTTTCATAATATTGCAAATAATAAAAATCTCAGAGAATTGATATGGTTATTGCAAATTGATCAAGATAATGTTTTAAATAAGTTTTTTTATATTCATTAATCAGTAATTTTTAACATAATCATTGAAATCATATTTTCAGTGTATGTAACATTCATTTACAGTTTTCAAAAAATAATATCCGATATTAGCTATCAATTTAATTGTTGACCATTACATCATGAAAATAAAATATAAATAATCTAGCACATAAATCATTTTACCAAAAATAAAAATAAACTTACGATAAGCTGTCTTTCCCCTCCATAGTATCAGTACCTGGGGTACCGGTGCTCAACTTGAGGGGACGGCATATGGAACTGGTCTCCGACTTAAGACTCGCCGTATCACTTGCAATGACAATCCTTGGCCGGCCCGGTAGGTCGCTATTATTATCATCATTATTATTGGTATTACCGGTATTTTTAGCTCCATTTCCCGTATTATTATTATTATTATTACTGTTATTATTATTATTATTGTTTATAGTATTGGCAGACATTCAGAGATAGATATAAAGGGAACGGTATGTCGTGATGACAGACAGATACAGTAGAGTAGAGTAGATATAAGATACAGAGGGATATGTAGAGCACAAGTAGTATTTTGTAGTGAAAGTATTGACAGATATATAGAGATTGATAGATAGATAGCACCGGAATTAATACCCCATGGGGTTATAACCCAGGTAATAGGGTACGTAATAATAATAGGTATAGTATAGTAGGGTTTTTTATGTAAGATACTTGTCCTTCGGTAGGTGTGAGCTGTGATACCTGTTCGCAATGTTTGCTTAATGGGCGCCGACTTGAGGTTAAGTCCCGGAGGTTTGTACGGAACGGGAGGTTTAGGCTTGACTTTGGCGGTGGTGTTGACACTATTTGGCGCCGTATTATTGAGACCTTTAAATGGGTATTAAATTTTGAAATTAGTTTTCATTACTATTTATATTTATATTATTGATAGTCTATTAGATTAATATGAGTTATAATAGTATAAAATGGACATGGGTAAAATTATTGTTAATATAAGTAATTATAGTCCAAATAAGTAATGTTAATTATTAAGATTAGTTATTATAATTAGTTTTTGGTAAATTGTACAGTTTGATAAAATTTTAAAATTATGATTAGTGTTCACAATAATTCAGTAGTTATTAAAATATAAATCTTATTATAATGAGAAAGTATCAGGTGAAAAATATTACAGTTTTATATTAATTATGTTTAAATTAATGAATTGTGATTTAGACCAAATTTAAATTATTATTTAAATCAATATCTATAACGCTATTTGATTTACGAATATACAGTTTGTTATAAAGTAATTATTTAAATTTACAAAGTATTAATATTAACATTTGTAATATATTATATTAAATGTTTTAATAGTTCAAGGAAAATAATAATTAATTTATATAATTAACACATGTCTTATTAAAGAAAATTATTTAGACTTAATTTTATCCTGGTATATGAAGTTTGAATAAATATTTAACTAATTTTTGTGAAATTAAATTTCAAATAATAGCATTAATTGAATTAATTTTAATTTTATTTATACTAGCTAGCGCTAATATAACAGTATTTTAGCAGTTCATAGTTACAACAAAATATATAAATTATAGTAAGGTTTGCAATTACTCCGTTATCAAGCACACATTTATCAAAAACATATATATTTATAAAAATTATAAAATATTACAGTTTAAAATATTTATAAAATAATTCAATTAAAATATAATTAAACATGTATAATAACTTACATTAATAATTATGAACACTATTAGCTAAATTGTAAATAATATGTATTATTATTATTATTATAAGAGAATATTCTTGATGTATAAGTATTAGTCATAAAAGTATCTATCACAAATATCTACTCCAATAATATCCAGTAAATTTGAAAACCTCCACAAAATATCCCCAAATTTGGACACAAAAGGTTTTCACACATAAAAGACAATTAATATATTGTCTCTTAATTAATAGCACTTTTTAAGATGTCTTCCCATTTGTGATACACAACAACAGTAGTATTATTAGTATAGTCACAGACATACGGTTTGCTATACATATAATGCAAAGTGAAATGTATGTAAAAAATAGTGGAAAAGTATTTTTAAAAATAGATATTTTTCTCAAAGGAGTTGTAGTTAGGGATGGGGAAAGGGAAGTAAAAAAATCGTCCATACATTTCACATCACAATATACACGTACCGGTGCTGTATGTGTATAATTAGTATGCAATTTTTGGCTATAGTCCCATTTTAAAAAGGCATTATAAATTATTGTTCGCATACATAGGCATAAATGTAATGTTATTTAATGGGTATTAATAATTTATGTGGCTTATAAACAGGGTATTGATCCTGGTGAATATACCGTGATAGCAATTTTTAAAATGCCTCAATTATTTTAATTAAAGTCTGTATATTGGTTGTAATTTTTGTTGTTAGCGAGCTAGATAAATTTGTAATTTATGAATATAATTTTATTTAATGTAGAATATTTTAGTTACAAAATTAATATTAACAAATTATATTATAATAAAATAATAATAATTTAAATATGCTATATGCTTGCTCAAAACATATTAATTATAATTATAAATATAATAAAACAAAATTTTGGTGCTGAGCGCGACCAATATTATACAAATTACTAAAAATTACTAAATAATTCAAGTAAATAATTTTAATTTACAGGTTTTAACAAACATTTAATACAATCTCTCTCTCTCTCT